TGGCACAGGAGTACTCAAAAACTATTTTTTGAATGAATAAACATTCCTACATCACAACCAGCTCTAAGGTAAGATTTATGGGAAGATTCCCAATGCCAGTAGCTAAATATTATTAAAAAGAGTCCCTATTAACTTGCTATCAGAATAGACAGGGCCACATATAAAAGGGATTTATGACATATCTCCAAAGTCAGTGAAATACAGAGAGGTGGAATTTTGGAATATTATGGTATTCATAGGGTTTTTATTTTTATCACAGTGTTAGCATTTCTTTTCTTGTAGGCAATTAATTTTCCCTAATGTCCCCAGGCATTTAATTTACATGGAAACATCAAGTGAGAATCTAAGAATAAAAATGATTTATGAGTTTATGGCAGTATCTACACAATCTAAAAAATTCTGATTAAAGCACTACACAGATCAATTGAATTAGGTATTTATTATCATATAGAGAAATCATTTCTCCACTTTTCAAACTGTTTTGACATTGGGTAGTGGTATGTTAGAGGAAAATTCAGGCTTAAAATAAATAGCCTTCCAGCACATGTCATTCATATGTCAACCAATATGCATTCAACAAGTTATTATGCTTTCAACAAATATTCAATTGCTAAATAGTCACATACTTGTCCTCTTGCTCTTAGAATGTCCCAGGGCTCAGTGTTGACCCTCTTCTTCCTTTTTCTTCTATGTTCCCTTGAAGATATCATCTAATCTAACAGATTTAATTGCCATCTATAAAATGATGATTTTCAGATTTAAATATGAAGCCCAAATATCTACTCTGGGCTCCAGACCCATATAGCCAAGCTGCTATGGAATATTTCCACTTGAGTATAATAGGAACCTCAAACTAAACATGCCCCACCTTCTAACCCCTTCCCAAGCAAGTTCTTCCATAGTCTTCTCCACATCAGTTAGTGGAGAATTCCATCCCTTCAGTTGCTCAGCCCTCAAATCTTAAATAATCCATTATATATATTTTTTCTTCCATTGCCTATCCAGCCCATCAGGAGATTCTACTGACCCATTTTGGCATATGTACAGAATCTGACCACTTTTTACCACCTCCACCACTTTTACCCTCGTCCAAGTCACAGTGTCTTTTCTAGATTATTACAAAGGCTTCCTAACTTGTCACTTTGCATCTGGCCTTGCTCTCTTTAGTCCATTCTCCACATATCAGTCTTGGAGAACCTATTTAAGTATGTCAAATATGTTATTCCAAAGGCATATCATACAAGTCATTCTACAAGTCTAAATCTTTTTAATGGCTTATAAAGTGCTACCGAATTTGGCTCCATGTTGTCTATTTGACTTCAGCTCTTAGTTTGCTCTTCATTACCTACTCTACTCTAGCACAGTAGCCTAGTTGTTCTTCCTGGTACCCACAAAGCATCTCCCTCCTTTACCCTTTGCATTTCTGTAGGGTTCTTTATCCAAGACCTAGAACAATGCCTGGCACATCACAGGCATTCATAAGATATTAAATTTATTCAAAAATGTTGAATGAATTAATAGATAATGAATTCATTCATTAAATGACTGATTTATATTAGGTCATGGAGATAAAAAAGAACATCCTTTTTCATGTGGGTGACAGACAAGCAAAGGCAAATTCCTACACTAAGTTTAAATGCTGGAATAAGAATTAGTATAGTATGCCATACAAAAAAATACAAGCAGTGTCCCATTAGTCTTGTGGTTAGAAAAGTGTTCTTAGAAGATATAATATTTGAGCACAGACTCAAAGACAGAATTGGAAGTGCCTTGGTAGAGAGATCAGGTAAGAGGGAATAGAGTCCTCAGAGGAATTGTAGTGATATATTAGGGTTGGAGTGAAGAGTATGAAGGATAAATATTTGAAAACGGGCAAGTCAATAGAGGCCTGGTTTTGAAAGGACCCTGGTAGGTGAAACACAAAGATAGTCAAGAGTATTGAGCAAGGGAATGATGTGATCCTATTTTTTCTAAAAAGATAACAGTGTATTTAATGGCTTAGACTTGGGCAAACCTGGAGTTAGGAAAATCGAATAAAATTTCATTGCTGCAATATAGACATGAGATAAAGGTGGACTAAACTAAAGGCAAGAGGAAGGCAATGGAAAACACAACTGGGCTATGCTAACTCCATGGTAAATCACTGCTGCATGTAGCTATGAGATTTGAAAGGACAAACATGCTCACAAACTGTGGCCTGCAGTACCACCTGGCATCTGTATTGCATGGAATTTAAGAACAGCTGCTGCTAAGCATGGACAAATTCAATTTGTGAAAACACTTGCACAAAATACCATCAACCTCAAAAAATTGACTTCAGGCACATAGAAAAGCATGATGTCTTACACACAATACAGCTGTACTTAATAGGCTTATTCATTCATTCACTCACAAATATTTATTGTATGGCAACAAGTGGCAGGTGCCCTTCTAAAGACTGAAGATACAGCATTGAACAGACAAAAATCCCTTCCCTCTTTGAGATTATATTCCAGTGAGGAGAGATGAAAATAAATGGATGCCTACAATAGTGTGTCAGATGATCATAATTTCTATGGAGAAAAATAAGATAGAGAAGGAGGTTAGGAAATATCCAGGGAGGGAAAAAGGCATTTTAAAACTAGAAACAAGGAGAGTGAATGACTACACTTTGATAAACCTCACTTTGAGCTCTTGCTCAAAGAATTGAATGAGACGAGGGATCAAGGCAGGCAGCTATCTGGAATTTTCACCTATCCGCGATGTTTAAATTCAAATATGTAACTGGTTTGAGGGCATTCTTTATTTTAATAGTGAAAGGCATATTTTTATCTGGCAAACAGGTTGATGCAATCGCTGGCCCCAGATGAACTGACCAAATTCCCCCTCAGAAGCTCACAGGTTCTCAGAGTTTCTTAGACACAGATAAAGGTCAGGAGTGTGAGGCAGGTTCTTCCCTAGAATCTGCTAAGTCATCCCTTGAGATGACATATAAGAACACCTCTTAGGCACAGCTGGCATGTTTCCAAACCAGCTGTAGCTTCATTTGTTACGCTTCAAAAAAAAAAAAAAATAGGGTCAGGCATGGTGGTTCATGCCTGTAATCCCAGCATTTTGGGAGGCTGAGGTGAGAAGATCACTTGAGGCCAGGAGTTTGAGACCAGCCTGGGCAACATACCAAGAACTCGATATATATATATATATATAACAAATAGCCAGGATGGGCACGGTGGCTCACGCCTGTAATCCTAGCACTCTGGGAGGCCAAGGCAGGCGGATTGCTCGAGGTCAGGAGTTCGAAACCAGCCTGAGCAAGAGCGAGACCCCGATCTCTACTATAAATAGAAAGAAATTAATTGGCCAACTAATATATATAGAAGAAATTAGCCGGGCATGGAGGCACATGCCAGTAGTCCCAGCTACTCGGGAGGCTGAGGCAGCAGGATTGCTTGAGCCCAGGAGTTTGAGGTTGCTGTGAGCTAGGCTGACGCCACGGCATTCACTCTAGCCTGGGCAACAAAGCAAGACTCTGTCTCAAATAAATAAATAAATAAATAAAAATAAAAAAATAATAAAACAAATAGCCAGACATGATAGCATTCACCTGTAGTCCCAGCTACTCGGGAGGCTGAAACAGGAGGATTGCTTGAATCCAGGAGTTTGAGGCTGCAGTAAGCTATGATCTCACCACTGTACTCCAGCCTCGGGGACAAAGCAAGACTCTATCTCTAGAGGAAAAAAAAAAACAAACAAAAAAAAAGCATGTCAAAGAGATGTCTTCAATCCTACATCAATCAATGGATAAGTTGATAATGAAGATGTGGCATATATACACAATGGAATAATATTCAGCCTTAAAAAAAGAAGAAAATCCTGTCAGTTGTGACAACATGAATAAACCTCAAGAACTTTATAGTAAGTGAAATAAAACAGGCACGGAAAGACAAATAGCACATGATTTCACTTATACATGGCATGTAAAGACGTCAAACCCATAGAAACACAGAATAAAACAGGGGGCTGAGGGGATTAGGGAGATGCTGGTCATAGTAAAAAAGTTGCATTTTTTTCTTAGTAAATATAATATATACAAATAAAGTAGTTTTAGGTAAAACAGGAAAAAGTGTAAAATTAAAACAAAAATCACTTTTTTTCTATACAGAGATAAACAAGTTTCTATCTGAGGCCTCTATATTACAGAAATTAATATTTCTTAGTTAAGGGGATAGGGGGCACACACACCTTAATTAAAAAGGGCATCTTCCTTTTTTTTGGTTGAACAGAATTATTGTACGGATATAACACTAAATTGCTTCTAGGCTGCCATACTTTCTCAGAAGCTACACACTGCTCTTCGGGGTACAATCTTCTATAGACTAGGCAGAGCTTGGCATGTTCTATTACCAAATATTATCTGCCTATAAATTCATTACCATATAGATATATTTGTTTTTAGAACAGGCAGTGACATTATTTTATCTGAGCCATCATAAACGACACATTTATTTCAATACGGAAATCTGTTAGAAGACTGTAACATAAATTCAACATACAAATAGTAAAACATACAACTGCTCTTTACTAACCACGTGATTGAGAAAGTTGGTTAACATCTCTGAGCCTCAGCTTCTTTATTTGTGACATTGATAATCTCCACCTTTCTCTATCTCAACTTGCTAGTAAGAAAGATGACATGTGAAAGTACCTTGTAACTGTAAAATGACATACAGATGCATGGGTGTTATTAATGATTAAGGCAGTCCTTTAGTGCTTCAAATCTCCTATTTTAAACTCAACTCTCAACGCGTGCATCTTCCAAGTACAGGCACTCAAATGGACCCAAAACTCTAACATTAAACTACAGTGCCCCCTAGCCCATGTAGGAGGTCAAGGCAGCTGATAGGCTTCATGAATAAGCTCTACCACAGACTGTTCTTTTGCCTCAGGGAAAGGCCATTAATTGTGCTTTTGGACGCTTTCCATCTGTCCAAAAGGAAAAACACTTAAGTATTTTCTTCAGTACTTGCTTGTAACATTGGTTTTATTTTTAATTTTTTTAAAAATGGAGTAAAAAGTAAATATCCTTTACTACTTAAATTTCCCTCCTCCAGATTGTTGTAAATGAAGAGTCTTTTTAAAAGACTAGCACTAGATTTGTCTTAAGATTCACTGTGATGTTTCTGATTTATATTTTATTACCTGTTTGCGGTCACCAAAATCTTTATAATCCAGTGTGAGAGAGGATATTGATCATAGCACTCTTTTCACAGAGTGGGAATATAGGGTTAAGCTTTTTTTGCAAGTTTGCAAAGTAAGCTGTTAGTATGAACCTCAGCCCACTAGTTCTAATACACATTAAACCCACCAATAGACACAGAATTGTTTAAGGAAACACCATTGAATATTTTTATATCGAAATGTAGAAATATTTGCTAACACGGTTTATAAAAGCCAAGATTAAAGTATATATCAATTGCTTTCTTCCAACAGGCTACGGTGCTTTGTTTATCTTTGGATTTAATCTCATAGATTTTTATGGACATTTTTAAGTTTAAATGGTACAGTAGAGAAATTGGGTCCCAAAGTGATGAGTCCTTAGGAAATTGAACTTGCCGTATGGGTTTATTTTCCATGCTAAGCATTTAAGTATTAATCAGCACAGCTTTCAGGGATTTCTTTCCAACATCCTTTTCAGTGTAAGATAAGGACTGCAATTCATTATGCCATGGGAGGAGCTTTGCTAAGCTTTGCTTTTCTTGACTGTTCATCTCAAATTTAATGGGAGTGTGTACATGTATGTGTGTGTGTGGTACCATATTGGTAAGCAGACTTGAATTATGGCACAATCTTGCTTGCCTTTAAGGCTAAATGTCTCTCCCCTTTGGGGGGGGGGGTTCAAAGATCATTTCAGGCTCAGTGTGCTTTTTACTACCCACTCAGAGGGGGGCAGCAAATGAGATCACGGGAAACTGGGAGGTGACTTTTATCACCAGTTATTTTTCTTTTCATCTCTCTATTAACCTAGCTCAGAGAACACTCAAGACATTAAACATTGCTCTTCACCAACTACTGGCTTTCTGTGACCTGATCGCTTCTAAGTGGAAACCTCTATTACCCTAGCACTGGTCCCTTGAGTTCCTCTTTTATTCATCTTATGTACAAGTATCACAAGCAGGAACAACAACAAACCCTCAAGCCCACAGCAAAGAGCATGCAAGTACACGGCAGGCACCATCCCTTTTCACACTGGTTTTTTTTTTTTTCCCCACTTGGTAGGGGAGGCTAAATTTTGGCGAGGATGATGGCATTTATAGGAGGGGCGGGGGAAAAGTGTGTCTAATTACATGTTAATGGCAGAACTTGCCTTCACCCTGACCCCCCCTTGCACACTGGTGCATTTCCCCTGCGTGCTCCTGTGTGGATCCAGACACCCTTCTCTCTTTAAGAGAGACTCCGGCGCCCCTCACTCCGCCCCTTCCTAAGTCTCTGGGCTCGTCAAAGCTTGCTGAGAGCCATGGTTGGTCCAGGCAGGCAATCGGAGCACCTCATGGAGCGGCTGCTCACCAGGGCTGGGGTGGGGTGGGGTGGAGGGGTCTGTTTGTAGTACTCTCAGTCCTGATGTCACAGGCGCGGCAAGGACATCGCAAGGAGGAGTCGGATTACAGTAAGGATGGGCAGTGCAGCAGGCAGCCCCAGCGCACGCTCCGGCCGCCGGGGATCTTAGCCCTGGAAAGGCAGCCTGCAAGGCGCTCATCCCGCGGAGGAGGCACGCTTGGCGCTCCCTGCTCTCCACGCCGGGGACGTTTCCACCGAATGTAGCATGAAACGGCTCTGCTCGGCGGCGTGTCAGCCTTGGGTGCGAGCTAATGCAGAAGACGCCGCGGTGGGGTTTCAGCTGTCTGATTAATGAGAAACATAATGTATTTTGGTGAGTGTTCACTCTGATGATGTAATTCAGGGGGTGCCCGGCTCTTCATCAGTGCAGACAAGCCCTTAAAATTTTTCTTTTAAGCTGCAAAAATACATTGCATTAAACCTACCTCCAGTTGGCAACTGGAGAACCAAGCTGGTGCAGCCTTCAGAGCTTCCTTTGTGCTACCATTGAGGTTGCTAATTAGCTGTGGATGAGTTTAAGTTGCAAAAGAAAAGAGACAGGGGTGGAGGGAGGGCAAACTTTGCCTCGATTTGTTGGAATGAAGTTGGCCTTTTTAGCTAGGTGAAGGAGGAGAAATGGTGCAGCGTGGGAAGTCATGAGCTAACTTAATGGAATGTGAAACAAAGTTCCTATACTATGGATGCTGTGAAAGCTGAGTCAATATGAGCGTTTCAATAAGCATTGGGTTTTTTTCCTAGTTCTGAGGCAGGAAAGGAAAACAGTCTCTAGTGAGCAGTGGTTGAGCAGCTGAGAACACTCCCCCATACCATCCCAGTGCTCCATCTAGCTAGGAGCAGCCTAGCACAAAATGCACATTATTTTAAACCTTTAGAGGTCTCGGAACTGTTAAATATTTGTGCAGTTTAGTTTTGTGCCACGGTGGAAACCTCACTCAGGTTTTCAGCTGGGTTGCCTGCATTTTCAGAAAGCATGTTAAGGCTTAGATCTGGACTATCAGTTGAGCACTGGAAGTGGGCTCGAAGCTGTATATTTGCACTGTAACGCTGCAACTTACTGCTAGGAGAGAAGGCAAAGCCCCTTCACTAAGAAAGAAGAAGCCAAGGATAAGGACTGAATATCCTTTTCTACTCCCTGAAGTTATGCTTTCCTTCTGTAAGTCCCATCCGGCATCATCATTTAACGGCATCTTTCTATTAAAAGGTTTGTGAGAGCAACTGGAGAGGGGCTAGGGAATGTATCTAAGATGAAACTGCTCGGGGTGATTTCTTGTTTTGCTTTAAATATTAAATCTTTAGTCTTCTTTCAGATTAAAGAGGTATTTAGGTAAACTTATGTTGGGGCACTATTAGTTTGTTGGGCATTTAATTTCTGTGTGTACTATTTGCTTTGTTTTGTTTTCCTGAGGCTTTGAAACATTTGAGAAAGTATGGAAGGAACCCAAGTTGCAAAAGCTAAATGCCTGTAGTTGTCTTGACAGCAGTTTTGATTTCCCTATAATACATGTCATATTAGAAAAGAAGTCTTAAAATAACCAAATTACCAAATATTGATTTGGAAGAAACAATCCTCATTTCATAGCCAAATTTTAGCAGAATTCAGAGTTAGACACCACCTCTTTCCAGAGTGTAGTGATGGAGGTGGTAAGCTTGTTATTGGCCACTAATAAAAGTGTTTATTATGAATATATTTTTGATAAATGGAAAAGCTTGTAGAGATAATGTCATTTGACAAAACAAAATTTCAGCATCTGTAATGATATTGAGGGATGGTGAGATAGATTACAATTTTAGTTTAAGTTTTCAGCCTTTTGCAACAATTCCTTATGTGATTGTGGTGAGGAAGTAGGGCTAATGAGAACAGCAGTATAGTCTAAAAGTACTGGTCAGAGGCCACTGTGGAAATACCGGATTATTGTGTGGCTATTGGAGAAATATTCTTAGGACTAACTCATATTATTAACTGTATGCTAGTGCAGCCTTCTTGTAAAGCAGGGTGAATCACAGGGTAATTAGTTTCATTGTATAATGCAAGTTTTTAATAGTACATATTGAAATGTGATGTCCTACTTACTTCAGATGAAACTCTACTCTTTGGAAGGCAAGGCTAAAGTTGTTCTCTGTGTCATGAGCATGGTTCCGTTTCACCATAATTTCAGCATGAGAAATGTTTTTCTATTCCCAGAGGAAATCGTGTGTATTCAGGAATGCTGTTTCAGGTTATGCTATGCAGCCCCTTGGTAAAGCTGTTAGACATCCAGAACTCTGGGAGCCCACCTGTCTCTAGTAAAATGCATGGAACAAGAGCTAAGGCAAAAAGAATTGAGCAATACATCCCAGGCATGTTAAAATTTTCAGTAGCATTCTAATGCCTGCAAATCCTTAAGACTATGTACGTGTATATGTATATATGTACATACACATATATATGGACATGTGGATGTATATCTGTGTATATTCAAAATTTCAGCAATTTCAGGTAATTTTTCAAAACAATGCTTTCATTTTGCAAATTGGTTGACCGTTACTTTTTTCTTCATTTTTCAGCTGCACATAGTTTATCAAGTCAGGGAGAACAGGGACAAAGGGAAAGCAGTACTGGATTCTTGGGCTTTCCTGGTGATTTGTGGAAATGGGGTAGAGGTATCAGAAGTCTTTTATTTGTGTCTCCAGCAGAGAGTGATGAAGAGCATGGTGATGCTGTGGTACGGGGTGAATTGATATGAAAACAAGATACTTACTTCCCTTATAAATAATCGGATTTGTTAGTATTGCCCGCCCCCCTTCAAATACAACTAAACAGTCACTGTCTGAATAGGCTGTCCCAGCCTACCTGCTTCTCTTTAAGCCCCCTTTCCCTTCGGAACTGGACAGTTGGGCCCTGTCCTGGCTCAGTTGGAGTCAGGTGCATGTGTGCAAGTTGGTGGAATATGTAATATTTCCAGTTCTCAAGAATAGCTCATGTTTTGAGCATGCCGTCTCAGGCTTACAAGACTAATGGACCCTTTTAATGACTTAAAGCTCGCTCTTATCTTCTACTGAGATTTTAGTGCCGTGTTTTCAATAATTGTTCCTTTGCACTTCCTGCTCAGCGATTTAAGAGTTTGCTGTTCAGTCACCGTGGATACTTTTGTTACTTATTCTATCGATCTTGGATCTTGCATTCATTACTTGGAGTTAAATGTAAGGTTCACATGGGAGAAAGAAGCAGGGAAAATCCCAGTCAGCAACCTGAATGAGATTAACTGTAAAAGCAAAGGAAAATAATAAATACTTATGAAGTTACCTTCCCACCCCCATTAATATTTTAGATAGTTAAAAATTACACGTGCCAAGGATGAATAGCCATTAATAATTTATTCAGAAATAAAAGCAGGGCAGCAGGGAGACTTCTTCCCAGATTAAGGAAGAGAGGCTGTGGGTGGTTGTCAGTACAATGGATTCAGCTGCCGGGTTACTGTTTGGTTAAGAGGAGTGTGCTGGTATGAAGGCCAGGTTCTGTGCTTGAGTGTGTCTCGGCAATTGCTCAGCCTCTGGCAGAAGGTTGTAACTGTGTGCACTGTATCCAGCTCTAAGTGCCGTATGTTTGAATCATCCTCTCCCCCCCCCCTTCCATCTGGCTCAACACATTTCTCCACTGCTGGAGTGGTGAGTTGTTGCCAGTGGTCATGTCAACCACACAGATTCCCGATGGTTGGCCAGAGAGGTGCCATGTCTCACCCTTTGTCACAGGGAAAGAAAATAGGAAGCTGGTAGTAAGGAGGAAATTCTATGTGGAAATTCTATGTGGCTGAAAATCAGTATGCTTTCAGGCCTGAGTCAACTAGATGGAGACTATGGTGAGCTTACAGCCAAGAAGGGGCTGGGGTTTGCTTCATGAGAATACTCCTTAAAAATAAAATGATACACTTTAAGCAAAAGAGCAGAGGGAGAGACAAATATTAGGGCTCACTCCAAATGTTACTGTTAACCTAGGGAAAAGAGCAGGCAAAATTTAGAAAGTGTGAATAAACCATTCAAGTTCACCTTGGCGTTAATTGTGGATCAACTGTCTTTAAAATGCCTAAGAAAAATAAGAAAAAACACTTAGTGGTATGGCTATCATAACAATAAATACTTCATTGAGGAAGCTTTTGATATAACAACTAGAAAAATTAATCTAGAGGAAAAATTCTAGGCCAGAACTCTATTCCCCTGCCTATAGTAGACAGGTTTGGACATATTCTTAGGAACGACTTTTGTTTTTCCCCTGGGATGCTTAGAACATTCTCAAGTCAGCATTTACACTTTTGGGTTGTGGCTGGACCATCAAGTTCACCTCCAAAGCAGTGTGTTGGAAAAACAGTTAAACGGCAAGGTTATGAGCAAGGAAATGATCAGAAAGCAGCAGGCAGCAGAGAAAAACATTCCTCTTTTTTAGTGTTTTCAGTGGAGTTACATTTAACTCCTTTTAATTAGTTTGTACTGAGCGATCTGTTATGGGGAATTAGGTCCACTAGAGTCTTTCTAAATACTCAGGAGGTGTTTCTATCTTACTGAGGCTGACAAGGGGAGAGAATTATTCAGGAAGAAACGTCTATGTCCAAATCCCCCCTTTTAAAGTTTGAAGTCATTACCATTATGTTTTATTACAAATGAATCTAAGTGGCATGCAATAAATTACTACCTAACAGGGATGGAGAATGTAACAGGTGAATACTATTGGAAAGGATACCCTGGAAAAAACCTGAATTCTAAGAGAACTTCAAAAACCATAAATATTTCTTCCTCAAGCCTGTTCTCTTTTAAATTTTTAGGAAGTTATTATTTTAAGAAGCCAAATTCTAAATTTGAGCAATATATGAGTAATACAGATTCTTTATCACTCCCTTAAATTTTGAGTTAATTTTTAAAAAGACCTCCTTAGTTGTTGTAATTATATGGAAATGAGATGAGTTTATTTAAGGGATACATTCCAAAATTCATGAGATAATGATGACTTGCAAAGTTACCCTTTTGTGGGTGGCATAATTGTTCCAAAAAACAAATGAAAAATTTAAATTATTGGTTTCTGACTTCCATTCTACAAGATTTGGTTACAGCTGCTTTTGACTGAAACCTCCCTTGATAAGACAAGATGTGTTGGTTAGTGTGTGTGCTTGTGTGTGTGTGTGTGTGTGTGTGTGTGTGTGTGTGTGTGTGTGTTTAACATTGGAATGTCAAGTAGTGCCTTGTTATATAGATACCCAATATTATACTTCATTTACAGCCTTTCTGTATTCCTGTATCTTTTAACATCATTTGATATGTAACACATTAAGTATTGATTTAATAAAA